ATTCCTAAACGGTTAATGCAATATTTTTGTTAAACCCCTTGAATTAAAGCTGAAAGTCTACGCTTCAGTCACATCTTGACTGCTTCATTTCAAATCCACTGTGGTGGTGTACAGAGGCAAAATTACCAAAACTGCGTCACTGTCCCAATATTTATGGACCTGACTGTATATATATATATATATATATATATATATATATTTAAATCTTCCCCTGTTTATAGTATTTAAGAATTATATGGTACAATATCCAAAAGCCCTATCAAAAATTAAAAATAAAAAAGCTTTGTTTTTGTTGACATTATTTAATAAATATAATTTATTATAAAAATAGTGTTAATACCCCTGTGATCAATTTGTTCTCATTGATGTGGCTGCATTAGTGTTTATAAAGTTTCTGTGTATCTTGTCGAGCTTTGTCAGGTGTCTTTTTTCTTTTCTTTTCTTTTTTGTTAAATCCCCTGATTAATATTACGTTGTGTCTAAGCCCCTGTTATAAGGTTGATTGTGTTGATTGTAGCTTGAATGCCATGTTGTTGAAATATTCCTGGTTTTCACTTCGGTGTCAAAAGTGGATTAGTTTCTGTTAGAAAATTTCTGCAGTTTAATAAACTCCTGGGCAAAATATGAAGCTTTTAATGGTCTTAACAACAAACCAGTGGTTAGGAAATTATCAAGAATGATCATGATGATCTGCATCAGCTGCGGCAGAAACCCAAATAATCACTAATCTTTAAAGAAAAAAAACATCCCAGAAGATATTTTGGGAAAATTTGTAACAGACATGTGAGTTAGAATTTTACATCAAACATTTTAATCATTATCATGATTTTGCGTACAAGAAGACTATAGAAGTGAATTTCCCTGTTTCTAGCTTTTCCCCAAACAGCAAAAGGAAACCAGTGAATGGAGGCACAGGAGCTCTCAGGAGTGCATCTGTTTCATTCTGCTCATTTCCTGACCAGTGATTTGTTATTAAAACCATTAAAATCTTCATATTTGCCATTTTGGGCTTGGTCCATTTTTTGCCCAGGAGTGTACATTAGTATTTTTTGTTGGATCCTGTTTGTTTTTTTTTATTTATGTTTTGAACCACGTTGCTATTTTATATTTGTACAATCAACATCTAAATCTCCATGTCCCATAACAACCTGTTCTCCAGACTAACTATGGCAGGGGTGTCTGATCTTATCCACAAAGGACCGGTGTAGGTGCAGGTTTTCATTCCAGCCAAGCAGAAGCCACACCTGAGTCTACTGAAAGCCAAGATCAGCTGATTAAACAGGTGGAATCAGGTGTGGCTCCTGCTTAGCTGGAATGAAAACCTGCACACACACCGGCCCTCTGTGGAAAAGATCAGACACCCCTGATCTATGGCTATCTATCCAATTAATAATTATTAAATAATTAATAATAATTATGCATGACTATAGTTCATAACTAACTAACTAACTAACTGAGTTTCAGTTTTACACACCTGTAGCATGACTTTGGCGTTATTCTCCTTTGTCTTTAGAATGGAGCGATAATGGTTTATTGGATTATAAAAAAATAGTTGACAGATTATTCAGTTATAAAACAATTGTTTGTTACAGATCTCTCCTGAACTTTTATTAGAATCTGAATTTTTCCCCCAGGCTGTGAGAGCCCTCAACTCCAATCTCCCTGTCCCCCTCTGAAACCTCATCCATAACCATAAACACCTCAAACCCATGAAACCCATGAAACCCATGAAAAACCCAGGAAAAAACCCAGGGAAAAAAAAACAAACAAAAAACTGACAATCTGTTTAAGTGCAATTCTGAGTGTGCCACACACAGGTGAGTGGGCTATACAAACCACCTGTAGTAACACACTCTTTTCCCTGAATGTACACTGAACACTTTTTATAGACACTCTCTCACACAAAGACTCAGTCTGATAATATATGTTTACTTGTGCATTGCACTACAAATCATCTTGCACTTATGCGCTGCTTCCCCTAAAATATCTCTTTTGCACAATTTCATGTACAAAATACCTCTTATGCACAATTCCATTTACAGTATCTATGTAAAGTTTTGTATAGTTTTTGTAAAGTTTTGTAAAGTATATATAGTCACCTAAATTGTTTCTTATACTTCTATGTTTATATTTATGTTTAACTTGTATGTAGCACCGTGGTCCTGCGAGACACAACATTTCGTTCAACTATATGTCCACACATGTAGCAGAATGACAATAAAGCTCGACTTGAACTTGAACTTGAACTTGAAGCTGTTTAGAGTTCATTCGTAAAAACACAGAAGCAAGGCTGATATGGAAAAATGTGCAAAACATTTCGTCTCTTCGGTATTAAAACAACATTTTGACTGAAAATGAAGCTCTTTACCCCAAACGTAGCTGAATACATGTTTGACTTGCAGCTGCAGCGGCTGATCTAGATAATAAATACAGTGTCTCCAGTTAAGCACCATGTAAAATTTGCTTTATTGCTTTAATGTATGTGTGTATGTGTGTGTTTTCTAAAATAATGAATCCAAACACAGTACTTTATCAGTTTATTGTAAATGTTTGTGTTCTCAGAAACAGTTTTTAAAGGAACCCAGTTGAACAGTAATCTTACGAACATATTAATTACATGTATGCAGTAGTTTGCCTGCTGTGTAACTCAGCACAAGCTTCTCAGTCTGCAGCGTAACTGCAGCAAAACCACCAAACCGTCAGGAACATTTCAGCAACAGATTAAACATTAAACTGCAATTTAAATGAGCTCCACATAATTAGCAGGAAACATCCCATAATGCCCATCAGGCCCGTAACCGTGCCACCAGCCTTCATCCGCCATCTCTACAACGGTGATGATGTCACCAGGGTCAAAGGTGATCTCAGTGTCATCAGCTGAGGAAAGAAAGACGCTGTGTTTAGCTTTAAAATGCTTTGTGTGTCTGCGTTCCAGTCCCATTTTATACACTTCCCCTTAAAGAGCAAGATGAGTGTTAGAGGAACGTTAGATTAACGTTAGACGAATGTTGGATGAATGTTAGATGAGCGTAAGGTGAATGTTAGATTAACGTTATGGCAATGTTAGGTTAACGTTAGAAGAAAGTTACATGAGTGTTAGATGAACGTTAGGTGAACGTTAGAAGGTTAGGTGAACATTAGGAGTAGGTTAGGAAAAGGTTTGGGGAAC